ACTGAGTCACTTATCACTTAAGAGATTTTTAAAACCAATCAAAAGCCTAAGCTGATATTGTTACCATGGTCAAATGTTAAAATTCAGTCCCAAGGTTCCATAAATTAAGATGGGAAAGAAAAAGAATAAGTTAGATACCCATTTTTCACATTCTGATTTTAGGGAGAGATAAACATTTAGGATCCTAAATTCTGAAAGCAACATATGGTCTTAAAAAAGTACACAAGACAGTAACATGAACATCTTCAAGTTTTAATAAAAGCAAAGAATGTTCTCATGATCTCAAAGTAATCAACCTTGACAAAAATTAAAATGTCTTTTAACCTTTTATTTATTTATTTATTTATTTTTTCGTCAGGGGCTATAGATGATGGATGGAATTGAGTTCCACGTATGTATGCTGGCTTCACGTGCTGCAATTGGAAACCAGTTTAGAATAGCAAATGATGTGAATATTTAGTAAATTTCTTATCAGATTATTCAAGCTTACTTTGATGGCAGAGGTCTCGAAGTTATAATACATTTTTTAACATCCTCAATGAATTCCATAAAACAACCATGTATTTGATTCCATTATATAAAACATTTCTTAAGATATACTCCAGGAAAATAGAGTATATTTACTCAGAAATACAGCTGTCATGAATGAAAATATTCTTTAAGAATCCCCGCCTTCCACATGGCATTGTTCAAAAAGACTTTTAAAATTGAAAATAAGGAAGAAATGTTCTTTTTAATCACAAATAAATGTTTACTTAGAAGAATTTTCAAAAAATATAGAAGTGGTGGTCACAGACACAAGTCTGTGATCCCTAGTCAGAAAGCTGAGGGAGGAAGATGGCAAGCTGAAGTCCATCCTGGGCAATTTAACAAGACCTTGACTTAGAATAAAAGATAAAAAGGGATGCAAATGTAGACAGAGTGTCCTGGGGTTCAATCTCTAGTAACACACACACACACACACACACACACACACAAATACAGATGTGCACAAAGTAAAACACTGAAAGTCTCAGCCTACCCCATTTGATCAATTTCCTATAACCCAGAAATAGTTACTACAACAGTTTGCTGTATAAAACTCCAGACTTTCTATATAGAAACACATTTTACACACATACTCACTTAAAAATACAACTGTTAAAATGTATTCCCATATAAACATGCCAAAATATGTTGTGGCTTGAGAGACTTGCTGTACTTTCTAAATTTCTTTACAATACATTTGTTTTATTTTTACTACCAAGTAAGTATAACATTTTTAAGAAAACAAAGAATAAGAACTTGCTACACAACTCTCTAGAAAAACATAAACAGCAAATGCAGATGGTGGATGAACTTTTACAAGGAAAAGTTATAGCCCCACATCATTGAAGTTAAATAGTCCAGATCAAAAAGAAAGATCAGAAAAGGAGACTTGATGTTTACTTCCACCCCAGAAGGGAAATATTTCTTTATATATTGCAGGTCTAGATCTATGTTTTTATAGCCATGGGTATGGTTATAGTTTTTCATTGAGAGGAACCAAGGTAAATCAACCTGCTACCTCACCTGCCAGTTTAAAAATACCAGGCTGTCAAGTCAGAATCCATGTATACATAATGAGTTTGTAATGAGATGTAAGACTATTTGAAGAAACAAATAATTTTTTAAATAGTTTAAATGTTTGCTCAAAATTTTTCATTTGTGCAAGAATAAGGTTGATTTTACTACATGAATTATGGGATCTTTGAGCTGAAAGTTACTTTAGAAATCCTGTGAATAACCTCTAAATCTTCCAGCCAGAGAGACATCAGAAGAAATTAAGTAGTTTAGGCTGGTCACCAAGGACCTAGTGAATGGGAATTAGAATTCAAATATACAGATTCCTGACCCAAAGGAAGAGTAAAAACAACAAAGGAAAATGTGTCGTCTCCTGGATGTGAGGAGAGGGATTAAACTCTGCCTCTCTTGGTGATTTAACAGCAACAAGATGGGCCCAGAAAACCAAGACTGAGATCACAGATTCACTTTCAGGAGCAGGTCATACAAGGTTTTGATAATGGAAGAATGGACTAAAGGCAATTATTCTAGAATGGGGCCCAAAGAGAGGAATTCGTGGGTATAGGCAAACCATCAGCAAAAGGACAGGCCTAAGAATGTTCTTCAGTCCTGGAAGCCAGAGCACTGACAGAGATCCAAGAGACTAGCAATTCACACAAGCCCAGGTAAGCAGGAATGGTAACAGTAATTCAAGGCAGCCAGGCCTTCAGTGAGAATGGTTCACTGCCTTGTCAGCCAACTGTTGAGAAAGATTTCCTCTTGTACCTCACTGGTTAATCTCTCAACACTGGGCTTAAGGACCAAAGCAGAGGGACACTTGAAGAGAAATAGGGAAGCTACAAAGTTAGTACAGGTGTATAGCCTCCAGCCAAGACCTAGCTGAGGAAGGAGGCAACACAGCAACCTACAGCAAGAAGACTGAAGAGGAAGGCATGAGTCTGGGTCTTTAATCTGCTCAAATGGCCTTCTGCAGGAACTCCTTTCCACAGTCAAGATTTGGCTTGTTACATGAGAACACACGTAGTCCACCTCTAACCATTAAAAGAGCCCAAGAAGAGCTATGATTCAACAAGCTTAAAGGTAGAATAGGAAATAATAAGAAGGATATTTTTGAGTTGCCAAGTTAAAATTGGTAAAAAAAAAAAAAAAATCTCCAGCTAGAGAAATAAAACTATTTTTAAAGAAATCTGATAACATGTTGTGAACTAATAATTATCTCCTATCTACATTTAGGTGGTAAATTAATTTAAGACTTTTAAAAAGAGAAAGAAAGAAGAAGAAAGTTAAGAAAGCTGTACTAACATGTATCTTGGATAAACACTGCACAGTTTATTTTATTGCCACCACCAAAAGGCTCATAGTGTGATTCATATCATGCTTGTTAGCAGCATATACAAATTTTAAATCAGGCTATAAATAAAGGCAAATAAGTCTCTTATAAATGGTGAAATTTTATACCCAAAAGAATAAAGAGTCAGTAAGCAAAACAACATCCCACAGAAGTAGTGTCTCATCTACTATTATATCCTTCCCATGGAAATCACCTAAGTCATGGTGGTGCTGTGTTGTCCTTTAACTAGGATGGTGAAGACTCGTAATACTTTGAAATCAGTAAATGTGCCAAAGACATATGAGCAAACTTCTAGTTCTAGTCTAAAACATTTTTTAACTTAAGAAATCTACCCAAAAATCTCCTAAAGATGACCTAATCAAAAAAGTTTCATTACAGAGGAGAAACCAAAGTACATGGAGATCTCAGGATCAAATGGCATTCTCCACTGTGGCTGGCCTCTATCCCACTCTGTCACTCACACTTACGTGCTATTCCCCAGTCTCTTCAGAGATATGTCATGATCCACACCAAAACATAAGACTATTGCAGAACCTGCAAGCCTTTATAACAATAAAGTGAACACAAACTTTTTATTCCTTTATCATCAAGAAAGTTTTTACTTTTCAAAAGGATGTTTTTAATAAGCGCTATCATCCAGGGACATCTAAAGAGAAATGAATCCCACGAATTTTTGAAAGACTGGCACTGGCACAAGTCTGTAAATACCAGCAGCTCAGGAAGCTGAAACAGGAGGATTGCAAGTTCAAAGCCAGCCTAAGCAACTTAGGAAGACCCTAAGCAACTCAGCAAGACCCTGCTTCTAAATAATATATAAGAAAGGGGCTGAGGATATGGCTCAGTGGTTAAAGATCCCTCAGTTCATTCCCTGGTACCAAAAGAAAGAAGAGAGAAAACCATTTTGCACAACACTTTGGTTATGGAAAGTGATTCAATGGAGTTTTACTTGGCCATAAAGATAAATGAAATTATAGAATTGCCAGTAAAGGAACAAAACTGGAGAATATCATGTTAAGTGAAATAAGCCAGACTCAGAAAATCAAAGGTCAAAAGTTTTCTCTCATATAGCAGAAGCTACAGCACAGTAAGAGAAAAAGCATAGGGGGATCCAATCCCACAAGACGACGACGGAGATCAAAGGAGTAAAAGAAAGCAATTGAGGGGGGAAGAAGGAGGGACAAGAAAGAGGAGTAAATGCAGAATGAATTTGATAAAATTATGCTATGTACATGTACAAATATGCCACGGTGAACTCCACCTTTCTGTATATCTATAAATCAACAATTAAATAAATAAATGGAAGACCAGTAGAGCTGAGGAAAGGGAATGGGAGAAGGAAAGAGGAAGCACTGGAGCCTGAAATGGAGCAAATTAAATTCCACACATGTACGATTATGTCAAAAGGAACCCAACTAGTATACATAACTATAATGCACTGGATAGAAGCATAAATTTGTTTTTTCGTTTAATTAGTCTGAAGTATCATGGGAAAAAAGAAAAAGAAAAAAAAGTGATATTCTGAACACTGAAACATGAACATATCTCAAGTTCCACTGGCTATGATTTCAGGTCCCTCCATATTTTTAAATACACTAGATATTATTGCCTCTGAGTAAGGAGAAAATCAATTATTTTTGTGTGTTGATCTCTGAAGAAGGGCTCAGAACATACAAAGCCCAGTTTCTCTATATATCTACTTCTCATTCAAGAAAAAGTTAAAATTTGAAAACAGTTAAATACAGGAATCTATTTTGATTTTTAAATGTGTGATATTTGTTGGGAGCACGGGTTAGTTTTTCATACCCAACCATATCTAACAACTAATTTGTTAGATTTTTTTTTTCTTTCCACTGAGAGACTTCATTCAGTCATCAAACTGATTTAGTTTTATTTGTTATCCTAAATCATATAACCACTTTATAGTTTGAGCCACACACATATTAATACCATGAAACATCCATATATTTTTAAAAATTGATGGACTATACCTTTAGCATATTTTCAGTGCTAAGTAAGATAATAAAACTTCACTGGGGGAAATTATAAAATTGAGGCCAAAACCACAATATATTTCTTAAATTATAAAGTAATATTGCTTGAACAAGACCTTTGAATTGGTTTTGGAGGCTTGGATAACTCTTTATACATAGTAGTAAGTTTATTCGATTTCATACTTTTCTTCCATTTCATCATCTTTCTCTTGGGAAAAACAATGTAAGTAATGCCAGCTTTTTTCGATGCTTCGATGAGAGACAGAGAGATGTCTTCAAAAGTGTCGTTATCCGGAATGCTCTCTAGGAGCTCAGTAATATGTGCTCTGATGAAAGGGGCCTGGGCCTTCTTTTGCTCAGCAAACTGGAGCTCCAACGCCCTTCTTTTCTGGTACATCAACAGTCCCAGGTTGCTTTGAATATCATCCTTTAGTTCTAATGATTTGGTGGTGAACTCCTTTCTCAATTCAACTGCAGATTTTGCTCTCTTAGTAGGAAAAAAATATATACGATCAATTAAAATTAATTTGGCTATAGTTACTAAAACTATAGCACTGTTTTGAAAATGTTTTAAATTGGGTATTAATGAAAAGATAGAAAAGACATACAGTAAAACAGGCAAACAGTTAAGAAAATGAGCCCGATAAAGGCTTCTCTACATGTAAAGGCCACTCCATTAGATTAACCTGTAGAAACAAATTCCAAACATTCCATCCAACTCCTTGGTCACAGGGCAATGAGCAAAGGTAAGATAGACCTGAGCGAATGCTACAGACTGAAGCTAATTAGCATAGATTTTGCCCAATAACATTGGTATCATAAATATTGATAAAATATTGATTATCATAAATATTGATGGACACTACTACCCAGTAGCTACATCACCTGCTAGACTAGTACATTTAAGTGGCAACCCCAATCAGGACCCCAATTGGGTCCCTTCTGGCCCTGAAGAAGCTCTCTCTTTTCTTCTCGCTTGAATAAATCCTACTCTTTTACGCTTACTCGTCCATGTCTGTGGATTTCATTCTTCAAATTCATGAGACAAGAACCTTGAAAGAAGACACCGGCTGGCAGCTGGGGTCTGCTGCAACACTACAATAGCAGGAGCTGAAAATCTGGTCAATTATACGTTAATCATTGAAACTCTAATACTCATTATTCAATAAAAGAACACAAATACTAATCCTTTGATATATCATTTCCTGCCTATTGAAGCACTGTCAACAAATTTATAGCATTTCATTTTGCTAATAAACAATTTGTTATAGAGAGATCTTTTTATAGTGAATTTAGACCCAAATTCCAAACAACAATTTCATACAAGCTAGTTATGTATCTAAAACGTACTAAAGAATAATAGAGATCTTGACCATCCATGATATTATACTCCTCCATCTCAGGAAACTATATTTGACTCAAAATGTAATTAGAATAGAGACTAAAATATGAAACATACATGCATGCATTTGGAAAAAATGTAAGGCAATTATTATTGGTAGAAATATGAACATCTATTTTGGATAATAAAAACTGAAATTACAATACCTTCAATTGTGTAGACTGTGTACTGAAACATGTTTTAATATTTTCAAATGATGCAGATTTTTTTAGTAAGAAAACCTGCAAAATAATTGAATGAGAAATACATATTAACCGTAGACATAAACTAAAATGTCATATGATAGTTGGCTAATAATAATTGTGTAACTAAATTAATGAAATGTAGAAATACTAATTAAAACATAGTTTCTTACTGACTTTGAAGTCGCTGACTTCTTGAAGAGGAACAGGATTCAAAGTGCATCCATTAACTTAGCAAAGTATATAATAAAGAAAATTATCTTATTAATTCTCTAATCACAAGCAACCTCAACTTTTTACTTCAGGGGACCAGATAAATATTATATATTATTATAACAGCACCAAGAATAGGGATATTATATTAAAAGTGCTGAAACTGGAGTGGAAAGTATAAAGGATATGTTATGTTCCACGCTTTCAGACAGGATAACAGTGCAAACAGCAACCAGTTCTGAACAGGTGGAAATCTGGATAGACCAGCTTAAACAGGAAGCATCAGAACTACTATGTGAAGACAGTAGCACTTCTGTAGTGGGAAAGGGTCGAGAATATCCCAGGACAAGGCAACAGACTCAGCAAGCAGAGAAATGTCCAAGTGACAGAAATATTAGCCCGTGAGGATTCTCGTGTGATCAGAGTACAGCACACATGGAGGTTACGTGGAAGTAGAGGTAAAATGGGAGGTAACAAAAGTACAGATGAGGCCAAGTTAAGAGGCCTCGTTAAGCACTCTGACTTAATTTTATTTGCTAGGTGGATTGGTTGAGTTTTTTGAGTCATGAGTGACATAACGATACCCATTTTAAGACTACAGCAGGATACCTCAAAAATGCAGCTACTAAAAATGGGAATATATGATAGGTGGATGCCAGTGATGCTACTACCACACTCTAAAAAGCGCAAATGGCTTTCGAAGAGAAGTGTCATTTATTGATTCAATTTTTTTTAACTAACAGTCACTGCTCTAGGTGTTGTAGATAGAACAGTGAACTTGAATGATATGACTTCAGGCTGGTGAGGAAGAAAAAGATCAAACATACATGGGGGGAAAGGTTCCTTGAGTGCTCTCAAGAAGTCAGAGAAACCGTGATCCACAGGAGAAACATTACTATCCCCTTCGGAAAAGAGTATTCCCTGATTATGGGGGACAGTGGAGGAAGCATTGAGGCATATTTAACCTAGTTAGCTGACTAGAAAAGGGGTTTTGAGTTGTTTCAGGGGACAGATTCTCTACTATGTGGCACATACCCAAGATATCATCTAGGGGAGTAGAGGGCTGAAGGCACTGTGAAAGAAAAATGAAACACTCCTGTTCGTCCCCCATAAAGTTCAGGCATTACTAAGCCCATTATATAAATTTCATACCTCTCCTCTGCCCTCGATCACCATTTCATTTTTTCCAATTATATTTATTACTCAATAAGCTTACCTAGATACAGTATAGAGATACTGGAGTCATGAGTATACATCTAATCTAATCACCATTTAGAGCCATCAGTTTTACTCTGCTTCATGGCCATAAACAGCTTCTGTATTCAATCAAAAGGCTCATAAGGGGCTGGGGCTGTGAGAGGCAATGGGTTGGATCCCCAGCACCACATAGAAAATAAATAAATAAAGATATTGTGTCCATCTACAACTAAAAAAAAGAAATATTTTTTTAAAGGCTTATAAATGTGTTCCTTTAATCATTCAAGTCTTAAGGCAAGAATAAGAAGGAAAACTGGAAATTTTAGAAAAATTCACAGCAGATATGTTGCTATTGATTAGTGAATATCATCTTTGGAGTGTCATAAAGACAGCATCTTTGACAAAGAGAAGATGCAACCTTTACAAAGATACCATTGTTTAGTATAAGCCATTTCCCAGAATGTGGAAGTAACAAGAAATCACTTCCGGAATTACTAGGAATAATTTCTGAACATATCGGCAGACAGAGTAACCAATCCATAGTTCAGAACGAAAATCATACGTGCCTTAAAGCTCATTCTTCTGTAACCACTTAGACTGATTCTTTCCTTGCTTTCAGACAAAATTTTCTCAGTTAAAATTCTGCTTCTTTGAACACTCTGTGATTAAAAGATAAGTTTTAAATTA